CTCAAGAGGTTTGGGACGCCAAAACTCAAGGTTCTGAAGGGATTGATAATAATGAGATCTCAATCAATTATATCATATTCGGTTCTCTATGGAACAGAAAAGATGTCGACATCAATGAAACTTTTGCATACAAAGTAGCACTTGAGATTTCGCACACGCAAGAGGATCTAGAACCCACGTCTATAATTGAGTGCACTCGTAGATCATATTGGCTGAAATGGAAAGAAGCCATAAACGTGGAGTTGAATAGTTTAAAGAAACGGAATGTGTTTGGTCCGATCTTAAGGACACCATTCGATGTTAAACCAGTGGGAAACAAATGGGTCTTTGTGCGTAAAAGAAATGAATTCGGCGAAGTCGTTAGATACAAGGCACGCCTTGTAGCACAAGGATTCTCACAGAGACCCGGAATCGATTATGAGGAGACTTATTCTCCAGTGGTGGATGCAACTACATTTCGATTCCTCATAAGTCTAGCCATAAGAGAAAACTTAGATTTACGGTTAATGGATGTTGTAACCGCATATCTTTATGGACCACTGGACAGTGAAATCTATATGAGATTACCAGATGGTATTGAGCTCAAAGATAAGCATGCATCTCGTGATAAACACTGCATTAGGCTGAACAAATCCTTATATGGACTGAAACAAAGCGGACGTATGTGGTATAACCGGTTAAGCGAATATCTCATCAGAGAAGGCTACGAAAACGATCCGATCAGTCCATGCATCTTCATCAGAAAATATCAAAACAAAGGATTTGTAATCATAGCAGTATACGTGGATGACTTGAACATCCTCGGAACATCTGGTGAAATCGCCCAAACAGTTGAATGCTTAAAAGCAGAGTTTGAAATGAAAGACCTAGGCAAAACTAAATTCTGTTTGGGATTACAACTTGAGTACGTCAATGACGGAATCCTTGTGCATCAATTGGCATACATTGAAAAGGTACACAAGAGATTCAATATGGACTAGGCCCACCCATTGACCAGCCCAATGGTTGTGAGGAGCCTTGGATTGGATAGTGATCCATTCGGTCCAAAGAAGGACGATGAAGAAATCCTCGGTCCTGAAATGCCATACCTCAGTGCTATAGGAGCATTAATGTACTTGGCTAGTCACACTAGACCAGACATCTGCTTTGCCGTGAGCCTCTTAGCTCGCTTTAATTCGTGTCCAACTCAAAGGCACTGGAACGGTATTAAGCACATCCTTAGATACCTTCAAGGTACTAAGGACTTGGGATTATTTTATTCTAACCATAACAAGGATGGTCTAGTTGGTTTTGCTGATGCAGGATATTTGTCAGATCCGCACTGTGCCCGGTCTCAAACCGGTTATGTTTTCACGCATGGAGGAACAGCCATATCTTGGAGATCCATGAAGCAGAGTATTGCCGCTACCTCATCCAACCATGCGGAAATCTTGGCCATTCACGAAGCTAGTAGAGAGTGTGTTTGGTTGCGGTCCATGACTCAGCATATCCGATCAGATTGTGGTATGGACGAAGATAAGGAGCCTACGGTGATGTATGAAGACAATGCAGCTTGTATCGCTGAACTCAAGGACGGCTACATCAAAGGTGACCGGACGAAGCATATTCTGCCCAAATTCTTCTTCACTCATGAGCTACAGAAGGATGGTCAGGTCAAGGTTCAGCAAGTCCGATCAAGCGAAAATTCAGCCGATCTATTCACTAAATCATTACCGACTTCTACACTCCGGAAGCTCATTCATCAGATAGGAATGCGTAGACTTAGAGATCTACAATGATGCCTAAACCAGGGGGAGTAATGCGTGTTGTACTCTTTTTCCTTCACCATGGTTTTTCCCACTGGGTTTTCCTGGTAAGGTTTTAATGAGGCAACGTTCCCCAGCGCATTATAGAGATCCCGGTTTTGTGACAGGTACGGTTACCTTGTCCAAGGGGGAGTGTTATAAACAAATGGACTTCTAGTAACCGGCTCATTAACCATCAGGTTAATGTCTCATGGCCCATTAGGGTTTCTGATGCATTAGTTATGTAATGTATATATACACTGCTTATGAAAATAATAAGATCTGAGTTTTTCCCTTAATAAAAAATGTTTATTTGCGTTGCGTGTAATACATTAATTCCGACGATTAAAACACTAATTGCTTACAGAGTCCTGGATTGTAAGCTAATAATTTTTATTGGAAGAAAATGTGCTTAAGCTCTTGGCTAGAATATACATTATGTTTTAGGGAATCAGTACCATGTTTGAAGATCAAATTCACATGTCTCCTCGATAGATTTTACACAGTAAACTTAACATACATACCATATTTTTCTTTAACAAAAAAAGAAAATAGCATGTAATTAGCGGAAGCAAAATCAAGGGCCTATGGATGTCCACGAAGACATAAATGTCTTAAGGCTCATTATGAAAAGCCTTGAATTATTTTGTTTTCACTATTTTTGGCCCATTTATTGATAATTTTGTACATTTATTCATGACAGTTATTCTAGTCCACTGCTAAAACGGCCTACTAAACCTGATGTTAAGACGGGCCATATTGATCAAACACCTCACCTCATATTTCATTTCGAAGATGCAGAGGTTGGGTTTCAAGCAAGGGGAGGAAAGTTGGAAACTGTGTGGGAGGTAGAATAGTAATCTGAGTTCATTCTTTTATGTTCCTAAGTTGTATTCTATAGTGCCTAAGTGGATAATCGATTGTAAGACTAAATTTTGGTTAATGAAAAGCAGATATTGAGCCCAAAAAAAAAACGTGATGTGAAAAGTTATATTTATGGCGCGAAGCAAAATAAAGAAGTATAAGAAATCAAGGACCAAATCGTTTTGTATCTCGAACTTTTTGCTTATTTAGAAAAACAAACAACAAAAAAAACGTTAGTAAAATTAGATGGTTTCAAATTATTAGTTTTTACAATTAGATTAGATGGCAAATGTAGGCTTGTAATAAAACGTTTATTTGATGATAAGCACTATAAAAAAAAATTAATATTCGTTTAATCAAATTTTAGACGACAGCTAATTATCAGGTGAGCCATGTAAAAGAAGAGAGAGCGATTTTGGCCAACAACAACCAAAAAAGGAGAGAACATGCAAAAGCTAAGAAACATCACAAATGCTAAGTGGTGTTGATGGAGAGAACCAAAGACATGTTCACAGTCCATATAATACCAACTGCCTAACATTACAGCCTGTCCTCATCCCCAGACTCTACTTTATCTTTTGCTCGTTTAGATTCATTCAATTCCTTAAGATAGTACACATTTGGCGTTAAAACACAATAGTTTTTCTAGAAAACAAATTATAGCAATAATTAAGCAGTAAAAATAGACACAAAAATCAGTTGAAACCTTAGAGCTAAGTGATGATTCAGCAGAATAATCATAAATTGTTATATTCGATAAATGAAATGTTGTTTTTATTGGTTTATATATTTGTAGCATATGCATTATATATATATATATATATTGGTGTTTTTAAGTAGAAGAACACAAAATTTAATTGATATTCTGAATGATAAAAACATTACCATAGCATCAAATGGTTTAGTATGATCATATTCAAACAAATCTTATTTAGTCAACTAATTTATAATGATGTCCAAAAGTTAGAGCGATTCAATTATTATTGCGACTTAATTAGTTACTATAACCGATTTTAATAGCAAAACCTTTTTGTGACAAAGTAATTGCAAAAATATTGATATTCTGCATATCGATTATAAAAAGTACGATCATCTAAGTTACGTATAATTCTTATTTTAAATCTGTATGTAAAGATAGTAAAAAAAAAAAAAAACTATCATCGAGAAAGCCAACAAAAGATTATTCTATTAAAAAAAAAAAGAACGAAGAAACAATTTGCTTCGTATATGAAGCTGGGGGCGAAACCACGCAGCAAAGAACCCCTTCACGTTGCAAGTGGTCGTCCACAACCAATAAAAAGAAACTCCACCGCCTCAAAATAGTTTACGATAATATTATACCATATTTTCGACACAAGAAATTATATCATATGATTCGTATATTATTAGCATCTTATATTGTTCATGAAAAAGAAAAATATTGAAATTCTTTCGTTGTCAAAAGAAAGGAGTATATTGTTATTCTTTTTTCTTTTTCGTCTGAATTTTATATTGTTATTCTAAACCATGAAAGTAGTATTCAATAACACAAGTAGAAACTTCAACCAATGGCATCTTGACATTGCCAAAACACTTACATATATCTAGCGTTACTTGGCCTACTTTACACACGTCTACATGTAGATTAGCCTCAATCATTAAGCCCTTCGAATAATATTCTATATTTCTAAGCTACATAAAAGAAAATCATTTTTGTTACCGTTTTCATTGAGATTTAACGATTCTCACAATTAAGAATTATAAATCAGATTGTTGAAAAAATATGTAAATTTAATCAGACTATTGTATTAGTAAATACTAGATGATAGCTCAATTTAAAAATTAAATGGGAAAATTTTAAAGTTTTTTGCTCTAAGCTAAACAGGTATTGTTCCATCCGTTTCCATAAATATTTTTATTTTTTATGAAAAAAATAAATATAAATCAGTGCTTCAATTTCCAATCTATCTATACCATTTCTAATCAATAGAATGCTATTTTAGTTAGATTGTATATTTCCTACACTAAAAAAAGCTTTTTAAAATGTATGAAACTCTTAAATTGTTTTAAAGAATCTCAATATAAAAATAGTTTTTTTTTTGGGCATCCCACATTGGTTTAACATCCTTTTAGTTATATACTAATATCACACATTTAAAACTGAATCAAAACTATTTTTATAAAACATAATAAAGGCTAATTTTGACTTAATGAAAGAAACAAAAAAAAAGGCAAAGCTAATTATGAGTCAACGGCCACAAATTGACGAAGTCGTTTTTGGGGGAGTGAAAAGACAATTTCGAAGTTGCTTCTCTCCTTTCCTCCTCCTCCTCCTCTTCTATATAAACCTTCCTCTCTCGTCTCTCTCATTTCACATCCCTCAAGCCAATTTCGAAAAGTTTGAGAGAGAGAGAACACAGACGACACCAAGTTTCTTTCAATCTCGTTGCCGCAGATATTAACATTTGCAATTCTCGGATAAATCTCTCCTTCTGCGGCGGCGAAAAAAAGAAGAAAGAAAAACTCCCAACGAACAAAAAAAAAAGTTTGAACCTTTTCATTGTCTGTTCTATCCCTCTCTCTCTCTCTTCAAGAAACCAAAAATGGCTCGTTCTCTCTCTGACGTTAAGCTCGTATCTGCTTTCGTCTCTCGAGAACTCTCCAATGCAATCTTCCGGTAATATCGCTATGCTCTGACTTTTCTCGTTTATGCTCTGTTTTTTTTCCTCGTTACGCTCTGTTTTTCTGAACGGTGTCGTTTTTGCGTTTCTTTGTTAAACAGACGCGGGTTCGCGGCCACGGCGGCGCAATCGAGCGGTGGAAGAAGTGGAGCCGTTGCTTCGGCTGTGATGAAGAAGAAGGGAGCGGAAGAATCGAACCAGAAGATTTCTTGGGTTCCAGATCCCAAAACCGGTTATTACAGACCGGAAACCGGTTCCAATGAGATTGACCCAGCGGAGCTACGAGCAGCTCTTTTGAACAACAAGCAGTGATTAAATTAATTGATTAAAAAAAGGGGCAGCTCTTTTTGATTAATTATTTATTGTCTTAATAAGAGGAGATTAGGGGAATTAAGGGGTAATGATCTGCTGCGGTGAACCCCATTATCATCTGCTAATTGCGATTCTGTAATAAATAAATAGAGAAACGTTTGGTTCCTCTGTTTTGTAACAAAAGGATCGTTTGATGTATGATGTATTCATAATAGAGTTATTTTTCTTTCTTAAAACGTTGATTTACTAGCAATTTCGCCACATTTTAACATAGCTTAACACAATTAACATTGACTCGATCTTAGAAAATATATCGTCATCTGGTAGGTTCGACTTCTTTTGTAGTAAAATTAAGGGGTATTTGCACAAATAACTTACAATTTGAAGTCAAATGCAAAAGTAACCTCTTTTTTTTTCCTCTTTAATAAATACCACTTTCTCCCTATTATCTCCTTACAACCACATATATTCACAAAAATGTCATTATATTTTTAATTTTTGTTTTTTTTAAAAAAATACTAAAAAGACACAACCATCCTAAAATATATCATTTGTTTACGAAAATGTCATCTTCTTCAATTTTGCCAACCACCATTACCAACCAGTTTTGAAGCTCTAAATGTTTGTCCAAGCAATTTTGAAGCTCTAAATGTTTATTATGTCGCTTATAACTTCATTTTACCTACAAATTTCTCTCCAATTTCATCTAAAAAACTCTTTCATGCTCATTTTTATAAATTCCAATTTCATAAATCATCTATTTTGGAGATTCTTGCATAACAACGACTTAGCTAGTTTGTTATCGGTGCTATACAAAATTCTGGGTGTTTGTCAAAGTTAATCAAATTTAAATTGGAAGTAGGTAAACATCTACTTCATTTTCTTTAACATTTAGCTCTGTTTCGCGAAAGCAGACTTCTTTTTCAGTCTGCTAGTCAACGCAGAGGTTAGATTTGCAATTGACTTTTTTTTAATATTTGTGTAAGCAGACTTCAAAAGAAGTCTGCGAATTGTCCTTTGTAAACAAAAAAAATCATGTAGACTTCTTTTGCAGTCTGCGAGAAGAAAAGGTTATTTTTGCATTTGACCAAAAAAATTGAAGAACTTTGACTTTTATAGCAGACTTCTTTAGAAGTCTGCTATTTCGTAATTTGACTCGAGAGGTTATTTTTGCAATTAACCAAGATTTTGATAACTTTTGACTTTTATAGCAGAAGTCTGCTAAAAAAAAATAAATAGCAGACGTCTTTTAGAAGTCTGCTATTTATTTAATTAAGATTCGGTCAAATGCAAATCTGACCTACAAGCAGACTGTTAAAGAAGATTCGGTCGAAAGTCAATATTTTGGTCAATTGCAAAAATAACCTTGAGTAAACTTCTTTTGTAGAGTAGACTTCATAAGCAGACTTCTTTACTATAGCAGACTTCTTTTACTCGTCAGCAGACTTCTTAAGAAGTCTGCTCTAAAAGTCAAACTTTTGGTCAATTGCAAAAATAACATTTTCTTCTCGCAGACTGCAAAAAGAAGTCTACTACGAAAAGTCAAATATTTGGTCAAATGCAAAAATAACCCTTTTTAGAAGACTTCAACGTGAAATTTCCCCGGCGGATTTTGAACGGATGTCTGTATTTTTTTAAATTTTTAAAATGCATTTTATAAAGTATTTGTAATGTTTTTTTTTTAATTTTAAATTGTAAATGCATTTTATGTATGATTCTTGCACCTGTATGAGTTTGGTGTGTTTATGTGTTATAATTATAAAGTTATGAATTTTTTTGGTTTGAAAGGTAATTAGCACATCTAAGCAGACTTCTAAAGAAGTCTGTAGATGAAGTCTACTGTTACGTATTAGCATATCATAGCAGACTGCATACGAAGTTTGCCTAATTATTTTTTTTAAAAAAATTCATTTTTGAAATGTTTGTTACTTGTAAAAATGATTTTCTTGTTTTGACATGTTTATTTGTTTTTTGTGTTGCATCTATATGAGTTTGACGTTGTTATGTGTTATAATTACAAAGTAATGAATTTTCTTGTTTGATTTATCTATTTTTGCAAACTTCTAAAGAAGTTTAGAAGTCTACTTCCTTTCAATTATTTTTATTTGTTATTGTTCTTGCATTTGTATAAGTTTGAAAAATCAGTTATTCTTGCATTTACCTGTCATGGTTTGTCCTCAACTTTAACTATTGGCCACTTTTGTTAACGGTCTTGATAGTATATAAATTACTTTATTAACGCGTACAACGTTAACAAACTCTTGTGGTCTGGTGGAAACAGACCCACTTGTTGCCCAAAATACATGGGTTCGAACCATTATGCTTCCAATTTTGGTTATTCTTTTTGTTTTAAAAAAGGGCATAATTGTAATTTTGTTTTTGTTTTCTATCTAGGGTTTTCGAGTTTTGCAACTCTTTTTCGCGGCCGCAAGCCAATTTTTTCACATAATCAGTCAGTTTTTTGCATTATTCTTATTATTCACACCTAAATCTTATAGATCTGGCATACATATATTGATTTCAAGTCTTAAACGAAGAAAAAAAGAATTTTCAAAGAATTTGATTTCAAGTCTTAAACGACTAATTGGTCTTGGCGGCCGCTTTTTAGAACATGGGATACAGACAATGGATCCGAGAGAAAGAAAATAAAATAGGAAAAGGATGAGAACAATACACTGGAAAAAGCCTCTGTGAAAAAAAAAACAAAAAACTTAAAAAAGAAAGGGACTAATCTAAGAAAGAAATCAGCTTGTGGTCATGAATGGAATTGCTCTGATGACAAGCTGTTGGTAGAGAGCCACAAGAGCTGCACCAACGAATAATCCCACCCAGAAAATCCACTGCAATAACAAAGAAAACGACCAAAATAACATTAGAAGAAGATGAAATCAACAAAAATTTGTAAAATAATTAAATGGGACAGATTCTTACGTGGTCGTCCCAAGCTTGGTCCTTATTGTAGATGATTGCAGATCCGAACTCAAGTGAACGAAGAACATAGCAAAAATGGAGAGCAGCAAGAAAGAGGATTATAGCAACAAAGAAAATGCAGCGCCGTTTTTGGAGAGAGGGATCAAAGTGGAGAGTTTCTGATTTAGGGTAAAATCTCATTTATATAATAGGGAAAAAATATCCGGTTATATCTGGTTAGGTTAATTATTTCCGGTTTAAATCAATATTTTATTTTAATTTCGTTTACGGTTTGAGCAGACTTATAAAGAAGTCTACAATCCTAGTTTAAAATTATTCACTTTTGATGTTTATCTTAGATGATTTAAAATGATTTATTTTTATTAAATTATAATTTATATAGATCATACTTGTTGACATTTGATTTATAGAAACAAATTTCAGTTTAAATTATTTTTATATAATTTTAAATTTTAAATATAAGATTTAATAATATAGCAAACTTCTTATAAGTCTGCTCTGCAGACTTCATTAATAGTTGCAGACTTCGCAGGGTTAAAATTGTAATAGAGCCCTCCATTTTTTTGTTTACTCATGTAGGAGATAATAGTAATTTCTCTACCCCTTTGACCTATTTTTGCAATAGGTTGAATTTGGGGTATACTTTTGCATTTGCATTCAAATTGTGGCCTATTTTTAGCAATTCCCCCTAGATAGTATTACTGTGCAAAGATTTGGAGGACCTGAACACTTCATGCCTGTAAATTTTAGTTCAGATTCATGTACAGCTATGTGTGAAGAAGTTCAATTATTGCATATTTGCATATGTGTGTGTTATCTAACTTTTCATTTAATTAACGTGGAAGATAACATATTAAAAGGAATGTTAGCGTATAATATAAGCAAAGATAAGGTATTCATGGTAAACTAAATAATAATTAGACAAATATATTACTACTTCCGTTTCACAAAGATTGTCATTCTAACATTTTTCACATTTATTAATAAAACTATTAAAAATACTATTAAAAATACTATTTTGCTCTTTATTAATGCATTAAATAACTTTTTTTAATTAATATATTAAATCAATAGGATCAAAACTGGAATATTGTTTAAAATTTTGCATTAAAAATATAAAACGATACTTTTTGTGAAACAAAAATAAAATTTTAAAACGATATTCTTTATAAAACGGAGGGAGTAGATATCTTATAATGTTGTGGTTTTGTTGTTTGCATGGATATAAGCGACAGAATCTCGCCACAGGTCTCTAGTTATTACTACTATAGCTTACCAATTGGCACTTGGCACCGCAATTAGCGACAGCTACTTGACATAAACAACCATTAATAACGTACTCAATTAACTTATATTAGTTTTAAAGACAATTAGCGACAGCTACTTGACATAAACATCCATTAATAACGTACTCAATTAACTTATATTAGTTTTAAAGACATACTTTGTACCTTCGAAGTTTCGACCGTTCCTTTATTATAGTATATTTGTTTATGTGTATGAGTATATAATGGATGTTAGGTTTAGGAGGCTTCTTAACTTTATCCGTTCGCGTTCATCTAACCATACATTGATCATGATTATAAAAAAAAAAAATTGTTTATTTTCTTTGGTGAGGATAAGTTAATAAATTTCATCAAAATGTAGTGAGTGAGTCATGAGACTCAAAGACCGACCACACATTGGTATAAAGGAAAAATAATATTTCCTTATTTATTGGAAAATTATTTGAATTTCATTGACAAAATTATATTCAAAAGTAGTAATTATCATTATATAATTTAGAGATAATTTATATATGTAACCCATTTTGTAACGTAGACCTACAAAAATAAGAATATATATATATATACGATATAATTACTAGACTAGATCTGATAATTGATTTATGTAATCTTTTTACTCCTTTTTGTACAAGATAGCTATGGAGTTTTGATTTTGTTAATTTTTTATTAATTAAATAAACGCTTTATGGGAGGTGAATTGTTGAAGAATATAAAGGGTAAAGAAACATAAGACGTGTCCTATCTCCTTTTGAAGAGTCAATTATGCTCAAAGGCTGCGAGACTTGCGAAAGACTTATTGAGAGAGGTACAGAGGAGGCAACTTGGTACATCGAATCTATCAACAACATTGAATTTTCTTTTGCTTGATTATACAATATATATAATTATGTCATCTCTTTTTTACATGTTCCTTTATTCTTTCGAGTTGTTTTGCTAATTCGTAGCCAAAAATTTGATATAGTCTTGCATGTCCTGTTTTTTTTAACAAGATATAGTCTTGCCTGTCAACGCGCGGTTTGGATGTTGAGACTTGAGACTCTAATTCTAATAGTTCAAAAACAAATTAGAACAGTAATACTTAAAAGTTTCTATAATATTCCTTATACTTAAAAGATAGGTTTTTCGTACATATTTAGACATCGACTAAACATTTAGATGATCATTAATCCGTGCGATTTGTATATAGTTAGATATTAAAATTCGGTAAAACTAAATCTGCTTTTTTTTCTATTCCCTAACCTAAAAAGTATGTTTGGTATAGATCAAGAATATCATGCATTAGAACAAAAAAAATAAAACGAAAAAAGAAGTTGAATTGGAATGGATGAGTAACTACCTCTAGCACCTTTTCAATTTCTTGATAAAGCTATATATTCGTTTCTTTTATGTTAGAATGTTAAAGCTATATATTCACGAGACCATTACGAATTTTTCTTTACCAAATAATTAATATACATAATGTATTTCTCTGAGTACAAAAACTATAAAATAATTTTTTTCTGTTCCTCTATATCTATTAAACTGTTGCTAGCCGTAAACTCGTATGCAATTTAGAAATATACATTGGATCCAAGGAACAGTAAGTTCCATATACATTTTTTTTAACAAGTAAAAGTCGTTAGTTGACTATTTTCTCTTAAAATTAAAAAAAAAAACCTTATGATCAGCTATTGCTATTTAGATAGAAGACGACTTTCGTTCGCCATTTCGTTGCTTGCATTATTCGTTTGATAATGACATAAATAATGCGATGCCTCCCACGAAACCCTCTCATTTAGTCAAATTTTCACGAGAGAAAACATACAATAGTGTCTATTCCTAAAATAGCTGACCGTGGTAGGAGATTGTTACCTAACAAAAAAAAGATCTTGTAGAACAAAATTTTGATGAGCTAAACTTCAATCTTAAAGTAGTTTCAATATAGCTAATTTTCTTGGTGTCTTCATTTAAGCTTCATTTTCCTTTATTATTCTTGCACAATAGAACTTTTAATGAGCTATCTTACTTTTCAATCATAATAAGGCTCTTATGAATCTATCATTGCTTTGAATATACTAACACCATCGATATGAACTTGCAAGAGCTCGACGTCACCGTTTTAAAAGGATTAAACCGGAAATTGATTATTTGGCTCTCATTGGCTTATCATATGTCTTTTCAGATGCGTTGACAAATGGATCCGGACACAACTATAAGTTTATTAACTTTTACGAGGATTAGGTTTGAGCACCAAAGACCCGGAAATTCAAACCGGTTTATTCGAATAACCCAAATCAGTTGAGATCCCATCAATTAAGCTAGGACCTTCATCCCTAAAGTCACCAGACGAAGAACAAGACACTACCTAATTCAGAACCCTTTGTACATTAGATTCTGATTTGTGAGTCTGTGACCATCAAGTTGACATGTTATCAAAATTAGCTCAAGACTCACGCACACTTCCGGGTTTGAACTTATGATACCAACAAGTCTAAATTCCCGGTTCTTGAGAGAGAGGGCCTTCAATATAATCCTTTACAAGCCCATGCAGAAGTATCTTAAACCTCAAACCAAATAAAATATGTTAATGTATATCAAAACCAGCATCGCTCATCAAATCAATGTGGTATGATAAGTTTAAGAAACCACAGACCAGGCATTGATCTTCGACACAAATGGTATGGTGTAGTAAAGAAACCAGGGTAGGTCTCTGAAGAAACATGTCCTACTTCATAGCTCATACACAAACAAATAATTCATCCCCAATCAGTTACCTACCAAAAGTATCTTCACTAACTAACTCAAATATCTACAAGCAAAACCAGACAGAAAGATCCGAGATCGAATGAAACAGTCACGTAAACTTGATGTGTTCTAATCTAAAAAAAAGCTGCAGCTCAATTGTATCTTTGATCTCATTCAGACCAGATCAACAAAGAAGAAAAACAACAGGAACATACACAAAAAAGCAGCCAACTTTATAACAGGGACATGATTATGAACAAAAGACATCAAATTTTAGGAAACATTCTGATTTTAGATCATAAAATCATCCAAATTCACAATTAAATTCATTGGTTTTTCCTAAATTTCAACTCACAATGTTCACATCTCCCTTCAATCACTTTCTCTTCACTATTACACAACTTTGGATCCCATAAATGGAAACCCAAATATAAGTTTCGATTCCTCAACCAATGGCCAAGAACATATATAGATTCAGAAACTACGATCATATTATTGGACAAGAGATTCGGCACAGCATTAAAAAAGGAGATATACAAAGACGCAATCATTGTCAAAAGGTCACTCAAAAGTACCTTTTCTATTTTTCAATCTCAATACGATGAAACAAAAGGGGAATTTCTCTCAAACATCTCCGATTTCGAATCCTTGCACTCAAACCCACACCCACACTGAGGCGACTCCAGAAACTCCTGGATCGCGAAATCCGCCGACGTAATCCCGACGGAAAATTCCATCTTGTCTCCGTTCCTGGTGACCTCGACGATGTTGAGCCACAAGAACAAAACTTTCACCTTTACTCCACTCAGTTGCGTGAGCTTGTTCTCGGAGATGTAACCACTGATCGTCGATTTGTAGTTCAATTTGTAAGAACCCACGAGAGAGAAGCTGCAGGAATCATTGAAATACGCGTGGAATTTTCCTGTTGATGTGTCTAAATCGTAAGCAACGACTCCTTTTGGAAGGATTCCGACGGGGAAGTTGTAGCTCTGGAGGAGTGAATACGCCGTCGGCGAATCTGCTTCGGCGGCGACGGCGAGTGGAGAAGGTAAATGGAAGAGGAAGAGAACAGAAGCGATTAAAATCGGAACGCCAGACATTTGGGTGTTTTTCCGACTTTCTCCGGTTGGATCAAGCTCGAATCTGTACGAGTAAACGAAGGAAGAATCAAAAGATTTGGTTTTTTTTGCTTTTACTCTCTCCGCCTTTCGATTTCGTTTTCCCGTCGGAGACTTTTCTACTGGTCGTTGGAAATATCTTCTGTAAGGAAGAAAACGGTGGCGTTTTAGAAGACAACTGGACACGTGGCCACGCTAACAGGCTGTTAGGTTTGGTGATTGAGTAATTATTTTTGGAAAGGTGTCCGTACTGGATATTGTTGGAATAATTGGCATTAAGACATTTGTTCACAAAAAGACAAATTATTACACATGATTAAATCAATAATCTTTAACAGATTATGTTATTATTTTTTTTTCGAAACAGACCAATTTTCTTCTTTTGATGGTCGCTTAGCGTTTATCTTCGTTAGACATTTCCAGCAAATAGGTAAAACAGAAAGTAAAAAAAAAAATGTTATTATCATAAAAGTCTGAAATTCAGTGTGCATAACTAAAATTTAACAAGAAGAAACCAAATCATATGCACATTAATATGTCATTAATTAACTAATCCTCATACAAATAACAAAATGCCTTTTTATTCAGTACTAGGAGGAACACATGTGGGCCTAACAGATTCAAGAAGAAAAGAGAAACCCATTACAGTCAAACCCACAACCACACTGAGGACTCTCCACAAAATCCGCCGCCGGAAAACTCGCCGACGCGACACCGACGGAGAAATCAAGATTGCCACTGTCAAGAGACACCTCAACTTTATTAACCCAGAATAAAAGCACCTTAACGCTAACGCCATTCAGATTCTTGACATTGCCAGTGGATATAACGCCGGAGATAGTTGCATTGTACTTGAGCTGGTACGATTGGATGGAGAATTTACACGTGCCGTTGAAATAGACGTTGAAATCGCCGGTTTTGGGGTTAAGCTTGTAGTCAACGACACCTTTTGGGAGGATTCCGGCTGGTAAATTGTAGCTTTTGACAGCGTCGTAACCGGTTGTCTTTTGGTCGGAGACGGCGAAAGAGACGGTGAGGAAAAGAAACAAGATGCGGGTCGAAGTTGCTATTGCGTTTGACGACATGGATTCTTCTTCTATGATTTGTGTCTAATTGAGTTCTCTTTTGAAGTTGTGTTTTGTTATAAAAACAGAAGACGAAAACAGTTGTTAGGTGTTTGTGTCTTGTGGACTGTGTAAATCGGTACCATGCGATAGATGGACGGCAGAGATTTGATCGACAGAGGTCACGTGTTCAGATGAATCAAACCAACCTCAATTCAAATGAAGAAACTGTACCAACTACATTCGACTAAATTGGACTAAATCTAAAGCCAAATCAAAACCGTAATAGACCAATCTACATTAGTCTCGAAAATTTAAGACCTTTTCAGAATCCAACCATATTGGAACTCAGATGCTGTTAATGGAAAAAGATACAAATCTTACGGGTGAAAACAGTTTGTGTGTTTTTTTTTGGCCTTTTGACTCAGATACCAACGAATCATCAACAATGGAATATAAAGCAAATCATATAATTAACAATAAGGCAGAAGATAAACAAAAGGAAAGGAATAATCATACTTACGCTTTGTGTGTTGTGCTCAAAACATCATCATCAGTTCACATCCTTCAATCTCTTTATTAACGCGTCTAACGATTTGTTCTTCGGGTTTTGCCTCGACCCTCTTGTTCCAAAAGTCCCGAAAATACTATCTGATGGATCTCTGAATTTCTCAGACACTGTTGCAACTTTCCTGTAATCCAAAGCATTGTAGCTTCTTTCTCTGATCACCGGGTTAACGAAATTCTCAGGATGACTACTCAGAAGCAAATTAATCATCTGTCTTATCTCCACGAAAGCTGTTTTCATCTCTTTCGCTTCTTTATCCGTGAGCAATGGACTTAGTTGTTCTGTAAAAGAGTCCAGCAACTGAATATCCACATCAACTCCTTTGATTGCAGCCATGCTCAATCTTTTCACTGAATCCCCGCATAACGTTCCAACGATCTTCTCAGATATGTGTGCAAGGACATCGCGCAAAACCCTTTTCAGGACTTTAGCGGGTAATATCTGTTGCGCTGTGGAAACCAAAGTTTCTAAGTAGATCAACACTTCGTTCATGTACTCGTTCCCTCCTTGTGGAGTATCGTCGCTTGTCCAATTAACATTCTCGATCAATGTCATGAATCCGTCTATCTTCTTCTTGAGCAATCCCGAGAGTGTATCTTCAGCAGCGTTTTGGGATTTAGTCAATGGGAAATGTCTCCTACCTCTCTCCGCCATTCTCAAGGGAACTCCTGATAGCTGTGCAGCGTGACGGAAGAAGAAATCGCAAGCACGCTCAAACACAGCCATGTTTGCTGCAACCTGCATTGCCTGAGAAACTCCATGAACCGATGTGTTAATCAGCTTCAACAAAGCCTCGTCGAGAGCCTCGCCTAGGAGCCTATCCAGATACTTCTTCACGACATCATAGAAATCAAGCTGACCTCCGTGAGACATGAAACTAACCGAATCCTCAATAAAAGACCGCACAATCCGGCAACAGTCCGGCACAGTGGTTGAAAAGGGAGCAATGTAAGGGAATGCCGGTACAATATCTGACGTTTGTAGCTGGAAAGAGAGCACATTCATAGAATATTCATATTCTTTCTTCATCAACATCTGCTCAAACTTATCAGCAGATAACGCTTCTGTGATCTGTTTACGGCAATCAGATAACAACAACTCGTGATACTTGTCCCTGTGCTTGCTCAATACTTCGAGAAGGGAATCAACAGTGTATCCATACCTACGTAGACTCACCCCTAACAAGCTCACATAGTCCTTAATCAGCAAGAGATGATTAGCCGTCTGCATCCTGGAGAACTGATCCTCCAACACAGCACACATATTAGTAACAGCAAAATCCCACAAAAACTCAACTTCCAGCTTCGAAATCAAACCTCCTCCAGTCCTCAAAACTCTATCCTCTACTATGAAAAACCCAGCAATCTGTGCGAAAAACGTCTGGTGAGACTCGAGGAACGGAGTCATAGAAGATACCTGGGAGTCATTTCTAAGCTGGAGTTTCCTATTCTTAAAATAGTACTGCTTGAAACCATCCTCAAGGGACAGTGTCTGATGAATGTGATAAGCTCTGTAAAGTGGAGTCAAATCAAAGCCAAGCAATCCTCCACCGGAACTACCAGCATCGCTGCTTTCAGGGCCAGACCCGAATTCATCGTCTTCTTCTTCGTTTAGCGCGTAGACGCAATCGCGTAGACTGAGTCTGCTCTGCTCCTCCGCTTGTCTCTGCTTGATCCTAAGCTCTTCCTCTCGCTGACGAGCTGCAGAAGCTTCACCAATGGCTAACTGACCCAAATTCCGACTCACCACACGGATCTCGACCAACCAATCATTGAACTCTTTCATCACTTTCCTCTCCACATAAGATCGAATTTCCGGGATCCTTTTCTCCAGCATCCGTTTCAGCGTTGACGAAGGAGTTTTCTCCATGAAATCGCTCTCAATCGAGTCCACACACTTCAAAGCCATATAGAAATTACCGCTCTGAAGATGCTGATTGGCTCGGGAGACGAGCTCCATAACACGAACACAGTGCGTCACGGCTCCAACCGCCAGATCGACGTTCTTCGACACAGTCTGCGCCTCAACAAGCGAATCAAGAGACGAGAGAAGCGGCGCCGCGACGGATTGGAGCTTAGAATTCGAATCGGAGAGCGCAGATTTGAGAGATTCAACATCAGAGAGAAGCGACTTGAGATCGTCTACGGCGTGGATAAAGTCCTGATAGTGAGCCTTACACACCTCCTCGATCTCTGATTCCTTAGATCGCGCGAAGAACTTGAGATGGTGTAGAAGAGTCTCCGGTTTCCCCGTACCGAACGTTTTCCGAACAAACGGTCCTAAATCCTCGCCGTTACAAATCGCAGACGATATCAAGAGTTCGTCAAGCTTCTCCGCCGAGTCTATACCGGCTCCGGCGGTTGTGGGACCCACTTTCCGCCGTACTTTCGAAGACTGCATTATTTTCGATTTTATTTTTCCTTCCCCGAAAATGGTTTTAGGTAAAGCGTACAGCGAAGAAGAAGAAGAGGGAGGATTTTGGATTTGGACAACGAATTGATTTGGTGGTGAATGTTGTTTGACTAAAATGACCATCGCTGTAGAAGCGGTGCGACGGAAGAAGATGAGGGTGTTTTCGTCTTTTTCATGCGGAGTGGTTTCTCTGACTTTCGGCTGAATATTTGTGCAAGCGAGTTTTACGCGTAACAGGTGCGTGATAACACGCGCTCGAGCTTATGTAAAATTATTTATCTGACTTTTCTATTCCCAAGGATATATAAATGTCCTACCAATTTCTTGAGAAAATCTTTGTTCCTAATTTTTATTTCGAATTATTAAACAACTAAAACAAGTAAGCTCACACCAAGTAAGAAAGTGCCCTTGAGCAAGCTTAATCTAAGCATGCAGTAAAACTTGTCATTGTACAGAAGAACTCGATTAAGCCAGTTCAGAATTTCTTGAAGAAGCCATAGATATGGTCAGTGACTTCGTCGGGCTTCTCTTGATGAAGGAAGTGACCTACACCTTCCATTACCACCACTTCTTGTAGAAACGGTACGTGTTTCTTCAAACCACCTTCATGTATGTACTCCTTTGTTCCGGGTATATGATATGTAAGGTCTAGATCACCAACAATGAATTTCACAGGGACCTTGATCTGTAGACCGGCCCATGGAGCCGTTAGTTCCCAGCTTCTACAGTTTAGGATAACACCAGATCAGTTCAGATTAACCACGAGGAGATAATGTAATGATGTGGAATTGGTGGCTAGAATTCATAAGACTTACAGGTTCAAAGCGCGATAGTAGTTTAATCCACCGGTGAAGCCTTTTTGGCTAAACTTATCTGCATAGAAACGGACGTCTTGCTCAGTGAGCCAAGCAGGCAAAGGAGGAGGATCAGGTAAACCTCTGAAACCAAGTGTCTTAGGGATGCAAGGTGGGCGTGGATTACGCGAAGTGAAAAATCTGTTTATTAGCTTCTTTGTATCAGCTTGAGCAAAGTCTTCTTCGATCTCTCCAGGCTCCTGAGAAAAGAAACTCTTGGATCATCAGTACAGAGACCAATTAAAGCAAATGGAAACCACAAGACTGATCCAACTTGCATGCATTTACTCATAGCAACCTTATACCCAAATAAAGTAAATGACTTTTGACTACTAATGCCTTTTTCAAATCATCAAAATTGCAACTTGCATATCATTTGCTGAACTAATTTGAGCTCTATATAGTATAGGTGTGTGATGGTCCCAGTTTCCATAGATCCAAACAGCTTTCAATGGTGGCTGTTGTTAAGTAATATTCCATTTCAATACACAGTGTCGCAATAGTTCAAGATTCTTTAAACAGCATCAAGATTCCTCACTACCTTTCATTGAATTGAGTTAGAAACCCTAAATTATATTGTCGGTTTCAACACCATGAGTTTCAATTTCAAGTTTCATGGGTTTAAAAGTCTCACCTGAAACCTGCAGACGTAGTAATCGTCGCCGAACAAAGCCCTAAACGCATCAACAGGTTTCACAGAAGGATTCCTTGGATTGAAGACAACGCTCGTGTTGACCAGCGCGTTGACTCGATCAGGCCGGATCATACAGAGCCACCACGCGACGATCGCTCCCCAATCGTGGCCGACGAGGAAAACCCGGTCCACGCCGAGTGAATTCAGTAATCCGACGAGGTCACCGACGATATGAAGGATGGTGTAAGAATCGGGAGAAGGCGGCGCGTCGGAATCGCCGTATCCTCGGAGATCCGGAGCGATTGCGCGGTAACCTAAGTCAGCGAAAGAGAGAAGCTGGTGGCGCCATGAGTACCAGAGATCGGGGAATCCATGGAGGAAGAGGATCACTGGACCTGAACCAATCGAAGCCACATGCATGTTTATGCCATTGGTGGAAATCGTCGTGTGCTCGATCTTCTCCATGGTTTCTTAATTTCTTTCTCTTCTCCGTCTCTGTTATCACTCTCAGCTCACAAGTACTGGCTTGAACATTGAACACTGAAATTCCATTAAATTGAAAATTTTAACAAAAATAATAAACAAT